CTTTTCTAATCCCTGGAATTCAGAGGTTCAGGATTTGGAAGATGTAATCCTTTCTGGGCTGCCTAACATCCTGACACACTCTCCAAGATACCCAAAGTAGGCTTGGCCATCAGACTCACATTTCTGAGAATCTGTATGCCCAGGCCCTCCTGTCAGATACAGAGGGATCTGCCACTTCATCCTGTCCTTGGAAAGAGACCCTGGGCACTCACCAGAGCTGCAGCAGTGGGCCAGCATGACCAGAGTGAGTGTGAGGGCGAGCTTCATGGCCGAGGCTGGGAGGCTCTGGCTGTCTCTAGATGCGGTGGTGGTCTCCTAGTGACTGTGCACATCTGGTGTCCTTTTATATGTTCCAGGTACCTCACAAGAGGTAGGGGGCAGGGCTTGGGTACCATTTATGAAACTTCACTATTTACCTGGACATCTGCTCTGAAGAATAAGTAAATATTCTCTTTTCTTAGCCCAGTTTCTGTTCTCATTGACACCGAGCTCACACAATGGACTACTTTGGGGTGGGGATGTCTAATCTAAGTCCTACTTGGAGGTTGTGAAGGACACTTGAGTCAGAGGGCATGGAACCTGGACACCTGTGTCCTTTCTTTGATGTTGAGCACTGGGGTAGTCCAGGTTACAGGAAGCAATTGGTTCACTGCCCTGGAGAACCTGAGGCCAGAGGGAAAGGGAAAGACAAAGACCTTAGGCCCTGAGACATCACTGGGCTCCTTCCAGTGTCTGCCCCCAAGGTAGGTGGGCAGATTTTAAGGCATGGAGATCTCTGATTCTCAAGCATCACTGTGTCAGGCTTGAGGAGAGTGTGCACTGCAGCATGTGGAAAAATAAAGGACTTCTCCATCGCACATACCAGAAACCCAGACCCAGATCATGGGCCTCTTCCCACCCAGAGTGTCCCTTGAGCCCTGTCCTTCTGATGGCCAAATGAAGGGCACCTTCAGCCCTTATCTTCCTGGACCTCTTACTGGCCTTTACCCTTTGATCCCTCCCTCTTGTTCCATTCCGCCCCCCACCCCGCCCCAGGCTCCCACACTCAGTTCTTTCCTGTTTCCTTCCCTGGCCATTCTTTCTTGATGTTTACTCTTGCTGACACTTCTCCAGTGTTGGCATTTCCCAGGCCTTAGCCTCCTTGCCTCCCATGGCACATTCTGTGTTTACTGTTACTTCTCCAGTACCCAGGTGTTGCAGCACGGAGCCTGGATTGGTTGAAACCATCATCTTCTCTGGTCTCCTCACATCCCAGCACGCACTCCTCAGCCATTCTCTTTAGTGAGGCAGGACGACCCTCCCAAGCCTCACTGGCTATGACACTCTGCTTCTTTTAACCCTTTTGACGTGTTCCCTTGCCAGCAGGGTGGAAACCAAATGCAATTTGCAAGGCCTTTGCAGTGGGCCTCTGCCTGTCATTGGGAATCAGACCGCCCTTGTCCTACTTGGCAGTTCCATTCTCTTGCTCTCTGTGGACTGGAGAGTAGTCCTTGTTTTCTTCATGAACAAACCGAGTCTTAGACCTCCAATACACATTTCTCACCTTTTCTGTTTCTCCAGATCCTATTCAGACTTCAAGACCATCTCAAATGTTCATCCATCCATTCAGTCAGTGAGCGCTGGGCACCTACTGCATGCTGAGTGCCTACTACACTGCGATGGGATTGGGGAGTGGGGAAGTGGGAGAGGCATTGCAAGGATGCTGTGACAACTTGCTGCCCTGTCTCTGTGAGGAGTATGGTTGGCAGAGAGCCTCCAGCTGCCAGTGAGTTCAGGATCTGCCTCCTGAGGAGCTCTGCCTTGTTCGAGATCTCACCCTCCCTTGGGTTGTCCATATCCAGTGGCACAGGAAGAAGGGCATTTAGAACTGGGTCCGTTTGGGTTTTTTTTAGATGGTATCTCACTCTGTTGCCTGGCTTGTCTTCAACTCCTGGGCTCAGCCTCCTGGGTACCTGGGACTTTATAGGCTTACAGCACTGTTCCCAGCAAGTCTGGGCAATCTCTCTCTCTGTCTCTCTCTGTCTCTCTCTGTCTCTCTCTGTCTCTCTCTCTCTCTCTCTCTCTCTCTCTCTCTCTCTCTCTCTCGATTAGGTTTCATATAACCTAGACTGTCCCTGAATTCTTCATGTAGCTGAAGATGACCTTAAACTCCTGCTTTTGCCCATGCAGTGCTGGGAGCTGGACTCAGGGCTTCATGCATACCAAATACTCTGCTAACTAAATTATAGCCCCAGTCCCAAGCCTGGGTATTTTTGTACCATGTAAAGAAGTCTGATGGCCAACTTTCCAGAATGCTCTGTCTAGCTGGTTTGCTGGTTTAGTTTTTCCCTCTGTCCAATCCTGCGTCCATCTCAGGTAGTACTTCTTAACAGCAATCTCGCTGTCCAAACTCCTTGATATCCACTTTCCTGATGGCCACAGCCCATGACAGATAAGTGTACTAGATCCTGATCTCTGTCACTCTGGAGCCTCACGTTACTGGGCATGACAAACAAGGAAACAGTTACACAAAGAAAATCATTACAGGTTGTGATGTATGTTTGGGAAGAACTAAGCAGGGTGCTTGGTAGAGAAAAGATTGAGACTAAGTGGGGTATGAGACCCAGCTCATACGAGGCTGAGGCTGGAGGGTTGTTTTGAGTTCAAGGCTGCTCTGGGTTATAGTGTGAGACCCTGTCTCAAAGTCCCTTCCCTACCAAGAAGCAGGGGTTGGGGGTGTGCTGAGAATGAAGCTCGGTGGGAGAGTGCCTAGCATACCTGAGTTCCCCTTCTGGGGAAAAAATGGGGGGAATGGGGTGGCCTTTCTAAATGGTGAAAGGTCACAGGTGTAAGGGCTTAAGAAGGAACTGAGGCACATTGTCCTTTGGGGTAAGGAGTTTATCATAAGAGTTATGATGCCATGGGTATTCAGACAGACAGAGAGACAGATAGACAGCAGGATAGCAGGGACTCTGAGGAGAATGCAATCCCTGTAGTCCTCGGTAGACTTGCAGCATGATGGGGGCTCTGAGGTTTTAGACCCACGGGCAAAGTGGAGATCCCTCCTTATAGATCTGAGAGAGAGGGGGAGAGCTTGATAGCAGGAGCCTGTAGCCAGGCTGTTCCTTATTCCTGGGTGTCACAGGGAGGGGAGGGAATTGGGGGGCATGAATGTGTGACTTCAATGTATGTGGCCACAGCCATTGGTAGCCTCTGATAACCTAGGGAGCCTGGCTACCTGAAGTCTATAACTTCCTTGGGGAAGTGAGGAATCTAGGCAACTGGAAGATCTGTTTAGAGATGTACAGACCAGCTCTCAGTGGGGTGTCTGTCTCTCGCTGTAGCAGCAGGGATCCTCAAACCACCTATGAAGATGGAGACGGTGTCTGGTCTGGGATTCTAACAAATGAGTGATGGTTTGAGCCTGAGGCCATAGAGGGTTCCAGGCAGAGAAGAAATCCAGCACTGAGGCTCTAAGATGGGAAGCCCCCCATGTCCTTAGGAGCACCAAACAGCTGCTGTATCTGGAGCGGAGGTGTAAGACTCACGGGGGCCCTGATCAGCAAGGCATGTGCAAAGGGCTTTACACTCAGAGTGATGAGGAGCTCTGAGTGATGTAGTCTGGTTTCCTGTCTGATGAGATGACCTTGATTTGGGCAGCGAAGTGCATAGGGTAATAGAAACTATGGGTGAAAATCGATTGGGAATGGGAAGAGAAAGGCCTTGCCCAGGTAGCTGGCCAGAGATGACTCTTCCTGCCTCTCTCCACCCTCTAAGGTGCTCACTGCTCCATGTTCTACTTCGCTGTTTGTTACCTGTATTTCTCCTTTACTTGACTGACCCATTTTTCCGTCAAGATACAGGACGCTTGCTAAGCAGGAATCTGTAGCGGAATGGATGAATGGCACCTCTCCATTAAGTGGTAAAGGCCATGATGACACCTGAACTGTATCGTTCAGACTCTTAACATGGTTGAGAGCACAGTAGCCACCAGGAGGGCATACCAAGTAAACTGTGTTGTGTCCATTCAGTGAAACACTGTGTGGCTGAAAAGATGAGGAAAGGTCCTCTGGAGTGATGAGGGAATGATCTCCTAGGCCAACTGCAAAGGCTGGTGAGATGGCTTTGTGCCATCTCAGTGCCATCAGTCAAAGAATTAGCTACACAAGGCTGAAGACCTGAGTTTAGTCCCCAGAGCCCACGGTGGAAGGGGGAAACTGACTCCTGAAAGTTGCTCTCTGACCTCCATATGTGGGACCTGACCCAAGTGTGCCTTCATTCACACACAGATCAAACACATAGACACACAGATCACACACACATCATATGTATACATACATCACACATACATACATTATATACACAATAACAATAGCTAGAAAATCCAAAACCTATAAGGCATAAAATGGAGCTAAAAAGAGTCAAATACATAAATCCATTTATTTATTTGCTTTTAAGTGTGTAAAATACCTCCACAGTGGAGGGTAATGCTTGTTTTTGGAAGAGACAGGTTTAGAGGAGAGATTGAAATGGAAGACTTCATTGTTAGTACTTTACATTGGGAATCTTGTACATATGTTATTAACTCAGGACAAAAATGTGAAGAGAGAGCAGATCTGACAGATGCTGACATAGGCTTGTGTCTGGAGTGAAATAAGTCAGTCAGTCGATCTGAGACTAATAAAATGCACTTTAACTCACATGAGGTCTTGAGAGCAGTCAGAGTCATAGAGACAGAACATAGAATGTTGACCAGGCATGGTAGCTCAAGCTTATTGTCCTAGCACCGAAGAGGGAGGAGAATCAGGAACAGGCCATCCTTGGCTACATAATGATTTTTGAGTCCAGCCTGGACTACATGAGGGACCCCATCTCAAAGATCCAAAAACCAACCAACCAAACAAAGGAAACAGTATGGTGTTTATTAGAGATTTGGGGACATGACAATGGCAGTTAGTGTTTAATGGGGACCATTTAGGTTTTTGAGATGGAAAAGTGTTCTGGAGATAGTTGGTGGTAATGATTCCATACTAATTCCATACTAATGGACAAGACAGTAAAATGTATGCTATATGTGTGTCACCACAGTAAAAATACTGACACACACAGAAAGAGAGGAGAGAGAGGGGAGAGAGAGAGAGAGAGAGCGAGAGAGAGAGAGAGGCTGCAAACAAGACTGATTGGGCTAAGTGTCAGACCCATTGCATGTTAGCTATATGGTCTCGGGCAAAGCACTGTACCGCTTTCCCTCAATTTTCTCCTCTGAAGAAGCACAATAATACTATCCTGCATCTGGTTGTGAGGATC